CAAGTTCCAAGTAAACGATCGCATTTCAGTTACTCAAGACCGCCTTCAAGAAATCCGCGAGGCAACTGGAGGCGACCCACAACTGCAACTGCTGCATCAGTATGCGCAGACTGCGTGGCCGGAACAAAAGGACAAAGTGCCTCAACTTGGAAGACCATTTGGTTCGCACGGAGAGGAAATCTATGAAGAAGACGGCCTTGTACTCCGATGCAACAAGCTAGTCATGAGCTACCAGACAAAAGATCCTCAACCTGCTGCCTGCAGCACACGCAGGCAATGAGAAGATGAAAAGAAGGGCTCGAGATATTCCGTTTTGGCCCGGAATCAACGCTGACATCGAGGGCAAGTACGACAACTGCAGCATATGTCAAAAGTACAAAGAAATGTCAAGATGCCACTCTTGAGTCATGCGGTGCCAGCAGCTGCCTTGGCAGTATGTTAGTGTGGATTTCTTTACTCATCAAGGACGGGATTTCATAATCATGGTGGACTTCTACTCATTTTACTTCGAGGTTGAAGAAATGACAACCACCACAGCTTCCAAAGTTATGTATGAAAGTCTGCGCAACACACGGACTCCTCTCGAAAATTTTAAGTGACAATGGTCCGCCGTTTGGGAGCCATGAGTTCAGACAGTTCCTGAAAAACTTGAAGATCGAGAAAATAACTTCAAGCCCTTACCATATGCTCAATCAAATGGCATGGCCGAACGAGCCGTGAGGCAGGACAAACAATTTCCGAGAAAAAGTGCAAAGAAGGAAGAGTTTTATTATGCACTTTTTGAATGGCGCAACACTCCACGCGACGAGGTCCTCCACTCACCAGTATAAAGACTGATGAGCCGACATACAAGAACACTATTGCCCGCCAGGTCTGAACATTACCTACCTGTTATCGTGCCGCCCAAAGCCGTCACACAACGCCTCACAAAAATAAGGCAACAGCAGAAGGCTAGCTACGATAAATCCTCACGAGCACTACCAGATATTGAAACAGGTTTTGAAACCAACATCTACAACACCCTCAGGCTCACGTGGTTACCTGCCGTAGTAGTGGACCATTCTACAGCAAGGTCCTACAACATTTGGACTCCAGAGGCCAAGTTCTTCGAAGGACACGCGAACACTTAAGTCCAGTGACTCACCCTACCAAGAGACGACCTCTCTGCTACGGAGGCAGCAAGCAATGGCCAAGTTGAGTCTGAAACGCGCCCGCAGCTTCGAAGAGGGACAAGGGATAGAGGGCCACAGCAACGATATGGAGATGACTTACGATATTTAGACTCACACACACCTCTAAAATTGCCTTTCCCAAGAAAGATGTGGCAGCTAGCCAACGATGGCGCCACCAGAGGAAGAGAAAGGCACAAAACGAGCGCAAATAAAAGCTTTCATTCCGAATCGCCATGCTGGCTAATGCGTGTTGCTTCATACACGGGGGAGAATTCGAAGCTGTTATATTGCCACGAATATCAAGCAAATGCTTGGGATCGCCACGTATAGACGAAATTGTTCGTCTTCTAAGAGTCCACATTATTCAAAAGTCTATAGAAGCCTACGGCTCTTGGAAATGCTCTCAGTCAATTGGAAGCAAAAAAAAAAAAAAATGCTCGCGATATTTAAATTATTTAGAAGAAATATCAGAGAGGGGATTTAGTGGATGATTACATTATCGGGATATTGAGCAAATATCTATCAAAATGCGCGCTGCGAAATAAGTGTCGTACCTATACTTTTGGTACTTGACGTCTATAGTGAAACACTAAACTTAGTCATTTCAAATTTTAATCAGTTATGTCACACCTCCTTTTTTTTTTTTTTTTTTTTTGCTGGAGTTTACATCTCTGTAATTTCCTCTGGTTTAGAGCGTTCTAGAGAAAAAAGTTGATGTCTCGAAATTCAAAAAACAATAATATTTAAAAAAGCGCAACGAGACACGGACACGGAAAATAGACAGAGACACAGCGCTGTGTCTCTGTTTATCTTCCTTGTCCGTGTTTCGTTGCGCTTTTTTAAATATTACGGATCACCAACTGGCCCAACTTATTTCCACCTTTCTCTGAAAAGAAATTCAGTGCATGGAAAAACAACAAACAGTTTTCCTATTGGACAGAAGATTTGAAACTATTTTCAGTGTTCCCTCGAAGACTTTGGTGTGTACATACTAAATTAAAATATGAATGCAGTTTCTGTAATAAGCGCCATACACGTAAACGACGAATTCGGCCGACCCGTCGTATGACGTGCCAGAAAGGAATTATGTGGGATCATGACCCGGTATATTATTTGCACAGCAACAATCAACGGCTTTCTGCTGCGTCGTGCAGGATGCCAGATGTTTTGTTGAGCATGGGTGTCTGGCCCTTCCGACTAGGCACTGCATGGACGCGCCTCGCCTCCAGGACTTCGAAGAACAACATTCGTGCGTTCAGTGCCTGCAATTATATATACCTGTGTTGTACGGAACGGCGTTCCTGGAACGCGTTCCTTTTAGGAATAACAAAGGAATGCGCCGCCGTTCCAATTTGCATCGGTGGAACTAGGACGGGATCTCATTACATTTTTACTAAAAAAAAAAACGAAAAAAATGGGGTTCCTTTTTTTTTTGTCTAGTGGGGTAATTTGTATTTTATTTCTAAGAAATTCTAAAAGCATAAAAAAATTATCTTTACGAAGAGCACGATCTCGTTAACTTTTTAGTTACTTATATCTTAGGGTTTATTTTGTCAGGTCCTCACTTGGTAACAGTAGGGTGTAGGAGAGCTAGTGGACATTGATTATTTTTTCAGTGCCCGAGACTGCGGTTCAAAAAGCTAAACCCTTTGTCGAAGGAAAATACAGAAAGAGGGACGTTTCGAACTCAGCTACTTTTTTTGCTTCCACGAATAATCACACACCCAGAAATCTAAAGCCGACTACACAGTCATCAGTGAACTTCCACAAAGAGACCTTCCGTTACAACAAAAGAACCGGTTTTTACCTGACGTCAAACGCATCCTTGTATCCCCAATATTGGTCGCTTAAAATGTACACAAAAATTAATATTTATTTCTGCTCCCCTTGTTTTCCACCTTCAAAGTGAACAACGAATCCAACCTTCCCGAACGAGGACTTGTAGTTTTCAAGACTGAATCTCACAAAATCCCTACCCTCTTCTTCACTTGCTTGTCTTGTTGACCGCAACATCGAGAAGCAACTGTTGTTAAGTTCGAACGAGGTACTTTGTTCGATTAAAACGTGTGAGATTGTTGTAAAACGCTCGTGCAATGTGGGGTAACAGTACATTTGGCTCGTCTGAATCGCCCAGCACAAAATATGGTTAGAAGCTGAGATTTTTAAAGGTGAATTGTCGACAAATACAACCCTGCTTCCGCACGTAGCCAGGATTTTGATTTGGGGGGGGGGGGGGGGGGGTGCGTTTTTGACAACATGCTGTATTAGGGGGAGGGGTTAGAGGAGGCCCCAGCTAAAGGAAATATTTCGGGGGGGGGGGGGGGGTAGGGGCGAACCCCATGAGCCCCCCCGGGATACGTGCCTGCCTGGTGCCCTTTCATCACGGCATTCAAATTCGTATGTTGCCATTTGATAGGATAGATTAAAAAAAGAAAACTTTGCTTGATCTAACTAAATATGGTAATCAGAAAAATACGAATGTAACCTATATGTGACGATACGTTACATTTTTAAACTGTAACGGGAACGAGTTTCTTTCTCACTGATGGAACTTGTAACGGGAACGCGTTCCAAAAATCAGAAGGAACGAAAATTGAGCTTTCGATTCTTTTTTTTTTTTTTTAAGGAACGTGTACAACACTGGTATATATGCCATGTATTTTGTGTCTCAACCACCGAGTTGAAATTTTGAAGCATTATATCAGTGCGTAAAGGAGTATGGCCGACGCTGCAGCGCTAGCATCACATCATGCCTTTATATTGTTTTCTTCTTCTCGCAGACTTATAATATGAACATTTGTTTATTTTCTAAGAACCTCTTCTTCCACATTCGGAAGCCTCCGAGATCACCCGGGAATAGTACATCAGTCCTGCAATCGCTACCCAAGTAGCCTCAGCACCATCTCTGCAAGCACTGAATCACTCGCGTTACTGCTGAAACAAAAACATTTACATTCGATCAAAGCTAGAATATGCAGCATCATTCTGGGACCCCGGCCACATGGCACTGGTGAGTAAACCTCGAATCGCGGCGCGCGTTATATATGTTTTAACTATCATCGCACCCCGAGTGTCTCGTCTATGAAAGCCATCTTCCTCTCCTTTCCTTATATTGTGGAATATCTCGTTTATGCCTTTTCTACAAAATTTACCATTCTAACGCTTCACTAAAAAGTAAATTATTCCTTAACCGCTCGTACATCTTTGCACGATCGAGTTGATCATCATTTCAAAGTCGGCATACCTCACTGTCAAACGTCAGCATACATCGAGTCCTTCATCCCAAGAACGTCATCTAATTGGAACCGCCTTCCAGCACCTCTGGTAGGCATACCGTCAATTGAACTTTTTAAAGATGCTTTAATTCTAACCAACTTTGCTAACACGCAGGACTAATTATTTTCTAACAAAATTGAAAATCGCTTAAGTTATTCTTATTGTGCTAATTTTCTCATTGAGATTTTGTATGCCTTTCCCCTCTGTAATGACCTGTGGGCCCAGAGGGAATTAAAATAAATAAATAAATGAAAATATTTTATTAGTATTATTATTGGTGTTGTTATTATTATTATTCCTATTCTTATTATTGTTATTCTTCTACTTCTTCTTCTTATTATTATTTTTATTATTGCAACTTCCCAGAACACTACCGCCGGCAGAACACCGAGTGGAGTAGTACATAAGAATGCCGGTAAAGTTGAAGTCTGTTCAATCTTACCCGCGTGCTCTCGGGTGGAATTTTATTGATCCGCTGACTAAGAAACCTGGAATCCGCAGCCAATCTTCTAAAAAGGAGAGGGGGGAGGGATCCAGACGTCGAATTGCAGCAAACGTAGGGCTGAGGTCGAAGCACCGTAACGAAACCGCCGGCGCCATAGCAACGCTCAGATAGCAGTTACGAGGCTACGAAACGAGAAAAAAAAAATCTAACAAGAAAAGAAAAAAAGAATACATATTTTCCTCCCCGGGCTGAGCTCATGAGGCACTCCAACAAACTTGTGTACGCTCCCAGAGGACCGTTGAATCCTGCCGTTATCGCGGCGAGGCAGAGAAACTTTGGACCTTAACCGCTCGCTCGGCGAAGCCTGGCTCGTCACAGCTAGCAGACAACGCCGAGTCGCCACTTCCTCCCGCCCAGCCAGCAAGTTCCCCGACTCGAAGACAACGTAAGTAAGGGCGACATTCCTGGGGCGCTGTTGAAACTGAAACGCTTCTTTGCCAACAGCCTACCTTTGGTATAAGGTATACTGCTGGCGCCATAATATAGGATAAAAGAGGAAAAAAAGAATATGTTTCTCTCCTTACGCAGACAGTGTAGTTTTGTTTTTTTTCTTCTTCGAGTTGATTGGGTGCTAGATGGTGGCTGCCAGTCCACTAGGCCTGAGACGCAATCTAGCTTTTGCTTGTTGCTGGTAAGGCGATCGAATTGTGCAGCAAGATTTGCCACCCGTCGATGTCTGTAAATTATGACTTTTTTTTTTTCTTTTTCTGAGGATGTATGTTTGTTTACATAACTGTTGCGTCCATGGAAGCCATGAGTGGTTGAGCGATTTGCATTCTTGCGGGTGTCGGATGTCCAGTGACGTAGCAAGAATGAAAAAAGAAAAAAGAAACAAAACCGCCGACAATTTAAGGCGACTTTAAATACGTGTACTCCCTGCCAATAGGAGCCGCAACACTCGATATGGCCCTTTGCTACGCCCACGGTCTCGGTAAGCTGCATTATCTTTCGTTGTGCCGTATACGGCGAAAAGTGTTCTAAAACACGTCTTTGGCGCATCGAAACGTGAAGAGAGGAAATCCAATCAAGGCGCACACAGAGAAGGTATAGAGAACGTGCGCTGACGAGGCAGCCAACCTCGCGCCGTCAGTGGTTAAGGTCGGGGGTAAACAAAGGCACGAGGTGCGCCAGGAGCAGACGAACTTGCACCACGTAAATTTCGTTCGAGCCCTTGAAAAACGGGTGTAGGGATCCGCCAAATGAACGTGGAGTGCTGGTGTTACTCACATCGTACACGATAACACGTAAAAAAGAAAAAAAAAGAAGAAACAAATGAAGAGTACCGTTACGGACAACTCCATTTCTCACTTTGGTTTCCAACGCCAGTGGTAGGCGCCATATATTTAAGTCGCTCCCTTACCACACCCTGATAGTCGTGCGTCCGCTGACTAAGTGCTACAACTTTTCCGTGAATTACGTGTAGCCGATGTGATTCGCCACCCCCTTGCAGAGAGAACTGAACTTCTAATCGAGTGGAAGTTATTTGCGTACCATGATGCGTTGTCGGCAACCGACTGGAATCACGGGTGGAACACGTGGTACTGTCATGTACCTTTAACGACGCAGGTCGAATTTACTCCATTTCCGAGAAGGTAAATGCAGTGTGTTTTTTCGCACGTGTAACGGTAAACATCGTCTGTTTTACCTGCACTACCTTTATCTGCCACAAACCATTCAGAAATCTGTCGAAAAAAAAAAAAGAATTAGCCATATCTGAACTTTTGGCGTAGTCCACAATTCCATATCGGTGTACGATATGAAATTGTGGATGTGTATGGCTTGTCGGTTTCCGAAGATTAAGTTATTTCTTGAGTGGTGTGAACGACTCGCAGATACCTTAAGCACGTGTCTACATGTCTGGTATTTTGTTATTTTTTCTATCCACTCGATGAATCTGCATTTGAGTCACAAAAAGCCGCCATTACTGGAGGCTGCAATACGCTTCGTTGTTGCTATCTCTTCCTCGTGGCTCTTTCTATGCACGAGTACAACGCAAAGGTACGCCGAATATATTTTCGCGCTGTGCTTGTTTCTTTAAATAAAATTTAAGTGCACAAATACTTCGTCAACCGTCTCGCGAGGAAGTGCTGCTTTGTGTGAAACATTTCCTCCCGCCGACTCCTATCTACAAATAAGAAAATCGTACAAAAAAAAGACAAGTTCGACTATTTCGGCGTTTTTACTTGGTTTTCTACGTTTATAAAGCTATATGCTGTTAAAAATGAGGGAACGCACGTTCCTTTCTGTGAAGCGGATTTATGGACGACTGCCTTCAAGGAAGTCTTTTGTTTTTTTGTTTGTTTGTTTGTTTGTTTGTTTGTTTGTTTGTTTGTTTGTTTGTTTGTTTGTTTTTCGAGACGTATTATGTGCAGCTATATGCTTTACAACGTTTCTGTCAAGCTTAGTTTTAACTTGTATTAATTAGAGTATAGGTGTTAATGAAACATCGTAAGACTGATGAAGTCACCTTTTTCGGATGTAACTAAAACAAAGGCTGTAAAACGGGACCCGTAGGAGGAGGAGGGTGTGGGGGGCTAGCTAATCCAAACAGTCAGGCAAAAAAAACAAAAAAAAAAAACAGAAAAAAAAGAGCACACGGCCCTTTACGTCGGATGATTAAATAATTAATTGCACCACTGGCCTACTAACTCCAGCCATCGTTCACTTCCATGGCGCGTGACGCGCGACGGAGGAAACAAAAAAGAAGAAAAAAAAAGGAGGGGGAAAAAGGATGAAAAAGGAAACGCGACCCCACCCGTTCATTCTTCAAATAAACACAATCCTTTTCCCCGACGGTGGCGGGAAATGCCTGCTTTATCTCGTCACGCATCAGCGTATTATACACTCAGCGTAATGTGCGCATAAATCAGTCATGCGTTGCATACTTCATTCGTCCTGTTTACTAAAGTTCGGAGCGACGTTATTAAAATTCAGCTATAATGGCCTAGTCCCACTGGAGCGACAAACGACAAGCAGTGTCGCGCAGCCATGCCACACACACATCGTGGGGAACCTTTCTTGGGCTTGAGTCTAACCGACTGGCAGAAGATCCGCGTTTGCGAAGGTTGTTCTGGAAAAAGCTGATTTTGTTATGCTGGCGAACAGTGTTGCTTGTTTGCTTGCCACATGGAAACATGTTCCCGCATGACCTGTTTACTCATTTATTTATAATACATCTACGATTATAGGCTAGGGCCATAACAAGGGCGATTTCTTTCGTATGTATGTACCTTGCCGGTATTCGATGTTCCTACTCTAACATCTTTTAGGGGCGAAGCTCCCTAGGGTCTAGCCTTGTCCGTCCGTCCGTTCGTCCTGACGGCGTCCGTGCTCACATAAAAAGAAAAAAATGTTTGCGCAGTCGACAGGATTCGAACCTGTGCGGGGAGACCCCAATGGATGTCTAGTCGATCGCCTTAACCACTCGGCCACGACTGCGGGACGAGTAGGGGGCTCTGAGATGTGGTAGGAACTCAAGAGTCATGGCGTGTCATGGATGAAACGTTGCATGTAGCCGCTCAACGTCTATACAGGAGAGGCCGCTGCGGTCAAATGCGTATATAATCGCGTTAAACTTTGCATGCATTGGCTCGACGTTTATAGACGAGAGGGCGCTGCGGTCAAATGCTCAAATGCGTATATAACCACGTTCCGTACCACACATTCTCTTTCTGACATGGACCGTTGACTTAAGCGGTGGAGATGCGTTCCCACGGCTTCTAGCGGATCCAAGCTCATCCGCTAGAAGAACCACTGGCTTTGCATTTCACCGACCATAAAGCAGTAATAATAAACTCCAAACGGCAACCCGGAACTCAGCACTACCTATGAGCAATAAAAAAAAAAAAAATCAGCACCATCAGCACTACCTATGAACAATAAAATCAGCATCATCAGCACCACCAGAGCTTCGTCCCAATCAACATCATTCACCACGTGGAGAGGCCGTCATTTTTTTGGCTAACGTTTGTCTTTAAACGTGTGTATACGTCAAGAGCCTCGTACCCCGGCGTGTGTTTTGCCGCTCTTGATTGTTCGATTATGTCGATGAATTAGCCTTGGCGTGTTTACACGCACCGTATTGTAGAAAAAACGAAGAAAAAAATGACCTCATTGACTTTGTTTTTGTGACTGTTTGCTACCAAATGGCACCAGTTTTAGATAATTGTAGCCAAAAGTATTTTCTTATTCAGCGAGAATTCATTGCGTGAACACAAGTGTATTAAGCTCCAAATAAAACAACCTCGTTCAATTAAAGTAGGTTTATGAGAATGTTTCAATGACTGAGGGATCAAATATCAATTTTTGTCGTGAATTCGCGCTTTCCCTTTACACGAAACCTATTATAGAAAAAAAGAAAAGAAGACAAAAACGTTTTCTTCCAAAAACAAAGGTTGCCTCATACCGTACCGTTAAATACCGCGGAAGCGCTCACTTCATTCAAGCGCCCACTATTAATAACTCTCAAACTTGAGAATTCTGCAAATTATATGTTAAGCGCACGATTCGAGAGGACGAGCGTTCATATCTAGATTAATCCAGTGTTTAGCATAGCCACAGAAAGTTGTGCAAAAGTATGCGGAGCGCAAACTCGTCTGCTTCTTTTGCAGAGGTTGTGTTGGCGTCAGAACGCGTAGCCCTGATTGGCTGTGCTTGAAGAATAGTGGGTAGACCTCAAGGCAGCTTGCTTTGAGGTCTACCCACTCTCCTTCAATTAGAGCCAATCAGAGCTAGGCGTTCTGACGTCCACACAACTCCTGCGAAGGAAAAGGCAGACGAACGTGCTCTCCGCATAGACCTGTGTGTTAACGCAACACAGCTCGGAGCACATGGAGCTGCAGCCTGCGTTGCAGAACCCAGGTTCCTGGGCTTAATCAACACCACCTAGATAGTCAAGGACTGCGAACATCCTCCTCTTCCTCCATGAAACGTAATCGCAGTTGGATGGTGCCAAATCAGCGATTGGACCCGAGCCGGATGCCGAGCGTAATTCGACGCATTTGATTGGACACGAGGCCCAGCCGAACGCTGACGCAGCTCTCGTGTCCAATCAGTGTCTTCACTCGACCTCACTGTGATGACGTCAAAATTCTAGTGCACAAACTTTGTTTATCCACTTTTTTTTTTTTTTTTGCTTAATTCCCACTTCTGTCCGTTTCGATCATGACGAGCATTGTGCCGGCGTGCGGTCGTGTATCATTCCTGCGTGATGCACGACCCCAGCATAGCAGTAGTACTCTACTGGCTACATTTCCCGTCTACAGTGGAGGCAGCCAGCACCCATTGGGGCTGACTAACCTCCCGCGCTTCTAAACAAAACGCACAATATATTAGCCCGTCTGTGGGTTGTTAGAATTTCAGACAAGGCGCTCCGTCTAGAAAAGAATCCATGATGGCCGTAGTTCGGAGTCCGTAGCAACCTCCCAAAGGGCCTGGCTGAAGCACACACTTTGGAATCTCGGGCGATATAGTAGGCGGCAGGCAACCGGAAGAACGGTTGGTTGCTTATCAGCGCGCGTTGTTCTCGAGGCCCACGCCCGGATTCTTCTCCTCCGTACGCAGACGCGGACACGTCCTCGCCCGATTGCACCGGACAGAGCGCCTCCATCTTCGTCCGACGTACGCTACTCGGAAAATAATCTGGCAGAAGCGGTCTGGTCGTGGGGAGATTGAAAGGTGAGCCCACTTCTCCTTGCATGGATGAAGTGTACGCTGAATCGATAGGTTGATCGATGGTCAGCGCGACGGCCAATCGCCGTTTATACCGCACCCCTCGGTTCGGTGCTTCCTTAACATGGCTACAACAAAAGAAAGAGCGCAAGTGTGGCTGATGTATGGATTGTATGTATTTGGGGCTCATGTATCCGGCAACTCTGTTACCCAACGCCAACATTTTTTTTTTAGGGGGGGAGGGGGGATAGCACGTATTCGCCCTTTTTTGTTTAGCAACAAACTCAGTGGCGCCATCTACTGGGTAGTCCCGGCACACTTCCGGCTCACGTATATTTCCTCGTTTTTTTACTTGTCATTCTTTTATCATAAGAGATAATTAAGGCTCATAGTGCTATAAGTGGACATTTCCAGAAGATAGAGTGTATATTTGATTGCGCAAATACTGCCAAAACCGCGTTGTGCTTCAGAGCTGGAAATGGTTGGGGGCTATTTGCACACTGGCACCACCACTTTTCAACTTACGGGAGAAAACGAAGACTTCTTTCGTAACATCGCAACTACACCTTCACCTTAGTTTGAACAACGCCTCCTGTACAGGAGGCATTAGTCTGAACTATCTGTGTGGGGGATATTGTTTTTAATACGTTCCTTTACTGGTAGGAAATTTTCGAGGAACGATTTTAAATAGGGAACTGGGATTGTGGTGTTTACGCTATGCTCCTCTCAAAACTTAAAGGGGCCATGAAACGAATTTTAGGATGGGATAAATTATTTTAAATTGGGACTTTACTAATCGCATATCGTTTAATTGGCCAAAAGAAAGAGTGTAGAAAGTCAAAAGCCAGCTTTTCGGTACGAACATTTGAAAATATAGCGGACTATTTTGTACCTTCTTGCCTTCGAAAGCTCTCCGCCTTTTCAACATGATACATCCGCGGTTCCCAAAGCGCGTCAGCGGTGCCAACCTGACGTCAGCCGAGCCCAGCTCACGCATTGGACACGAGAACTGCGTCACTCCGACGTATGCGCTCGTCAACAATAAATCCGCCGCCGAATATTCGGATTCGTGTTCGTGGCCGATGAGTGCCCTGACGGCACTTATCGTCACTGGGGAATGACAAGTTCTATGGTGTGCATAAAAAGCATGGTCATCGCACTGGTGCTAAGAGTCATCGCACGGGTACCAAAGAATGTCACGACCACGTGATTTCACGATTCGCATTTGAGTTGAGAATTAAAGCTAATGAACAAGAAGTAGGAAAATCATTTCATGACCCCTTTAAGTATTGCGTTTTGGGGAAGGTGTATGTAGGTGTGTGTGTGGGGGGGGGGGGGCTGCATTTATGTGCATACAGTAACACTGTTTATACACAAGCGTGTGATCATAAGATAGGCACAAAGCGGAACTAAAGAAAGTGACCGAAGTGTTCACTCTTCCCAGAAATCCGTCAAAAGGAGTTTGTCTGTGCATGACTGGCGCGCACCATTCCAAGAGGACTGTTACTCTGGCAACCAAAGTAAATAACACGTCCGGCTAACAAAGACGCAAACAGCATTAAAACACTCCTCTCTACTATATCAATTCAGGACCTGTGAGTCCATTAAGACCACTAAAAGAGCTACGCAGTCCGAACAGCAGTAATATGAGAAAACATGTGAAAACATTATTTGAGACAAAACCCCGAGACTGAGGAAAAACGAAGGACGACACAACACACTTTGTGAGACTTTGTGTGTTGTGTCGTCCTTCGTTTTCCCCCAGCTAGTTTGCACCCTAACTTTTGGTTCGAAAACATTCCTTGGCATTAACATGTGTGTGACGAGATTATGGATATACAGGATACACAGCCAGACGTTCAGAGCTCCGCTAATTCTTACTACCGAGCGGTAGTAATATCTAACAGATCTACGTTGTTAATTGAGACTCCAGCTTGTTAGGAACTAGGCTGCTACCCTGTAGGTTTTTTCATTGGAGCCCTTGGGCTGCTCTTATTTGTAAATGGTGAATTCGCAACCAAAGCTATACTGACATTGGAACCCGTGACAGGTGGTGGAATAAGAGAAAACATAAGACATGCTTTTCCTTATTACGTGAAACGACTTTTGGCTAGTTCCGGATTTTGTGAAGCGGGATTAAGCTGCCCCGCTAGATTTAGGGGGAAAAGGGACGTCACGTGACCTGAACACCAATTTAGTTCCCCCGCTAAATTTATCGGAAAAAAATGACGTCACATGGTATCGTGTCACGTAACCTATACACTAACTCAGTTTCCCCGCTAGATTTAGCGGGAAAATCTACGTCACGTGACCTACACACAAATTCAGTTTCCCCGCTAAATTTAGCGGATAAATTGACGTAACGTGGCCTGGTGTCACGCGACCTATACACCAATTCAGCTTCCCGCCAAATATAGCGGGAAATTTACATTACGTGACACCGATTTCATATCGGTGCAGCCACGAGGTGCAGCTCTCGCTAAACGTTGGTGATGCTGGAACGCTTCATGTATCCAACAAAATTGCCGAGCAATTTGCCATAAATTTTTTGTAACACATTCTCGGGCTTGAAATGTCAGGTCTGAGTAACGGTTTCCATCGGGTTACCTGCGTATACAATATAATAAATATAACATCCGTTGCTACGAAACATAAAGACACTGAGAATGGGGAATAGTTAAAATTTTGAACGATACCCCATTCAGTTTTAAAGATTGGGGTATAGAAAATTTTCTCTAACTAATTGATTTTACTTTAGTTCTGCGCCTCGCCGGGCAACAATACTCCTTGACGTAACGGGAAAAAGAGGAAAATTGACGCCCTCGCCGGGGGGGGGGGAGGGGAGGGGAGGGGAGGGGAGGGGAGGGGAGGGAGGGAGGGAGGGGAGGGGAGGGGAGGGGAGGGGAAGGGGGGGAGGGAGGGGAGGGGAGGGGAGGGGAGGGGAGGGGAGGGGAAGGGGGGGATGTTTTTAGTTTTTTTTTTGCCCGATCCCCCGAAGGTCGTCCTGGTGATATCCCACACTGACTGGTGATAGTTAGGGGGAGAAAATTGGTATTAGAAAGGCGGGAGGAATCATATGTTAGTCTTTTTAGACTCGGGTTAGGTGGCGCAAGCTACCGCCCGTTACAAAGGGTATGGCCATTACCATCCATTTATCCGGGAGTAAACAAAAGTGAGGATAGTCCCCTAATCTCGACTGAATGCAATTTCACCGATACCCCATGGCTAAAGATGTCCGGTCAATTTGACCGCTGGAAGACCGTGTTGACCGATTGAACGGTGACTGTTAAGTTTGGCGAGCTTGCAAATTTGTTCTTTATTGTGTCAAGCCTCTCCGGTAAATATCTTCGATTAGGCGGCCGACGAAGTACCGCTACAGGCAGAGCTATACTTGTCAGAGGATGCCTATATCGGGAGGATGAACGTTTATCTCGGAATCCCATAAAAAAAAAGGCAAAATCTGCGTTAAAGGAGCAATGCATCCGAAAGGGTCGCAGTGCACGCGTGACTGAGTGTCGGGCACAGGAGTTGCGAAGTTGATGGCGCTTTTTGTAGACATCTCTGGCACGTTCGTAAATATCTGCAAGAACTTCGCCATCTATTATGCATCTATTATGCCTTGTAATTTTCAATTTGTAACCGCAATCTTTTTTTCTTTTCTTTTCTTTTTTTTAACGTTTACATGACTACGTTTAACCTTTTTGGAGAGGTAACTGAAAAAGAGCCGTAAACCAATCCCTACAAACACGCTTTATTTTGCAAGTTTAAATTGATCTTTCTGTTTCCGTTTTTAGATTTCGCACCATCAGCAACCGATTGTAGGGTCCCGAAGGTTGCTTCTATAATCTAACTCGTGCAATTCCGCGTCTATCTGAGCGACCAGTTCTATGGCCCCCTTGACACGAGGGATGCAGAAAAGGAATATGCACTCGAAGTGCGCTCTATGTCGGAATTTCAAGGTCTCCGAGTCAGGTGCACGATAACCACGCTCAGTGCAACACACATGAGAGTGCCTGAAAACGCGAGATGTCCATCAACGTCAGCTGAACGTACCCGCTTGACCGTCGTGGGGTTGTCGAGCTCCGGCAGGGAACAATCTTGATGTGTTCTGAGCTGACGACCGCAAATCGCGCGACATCGACATAAATGCAGGGTCGGGAACGCAGGCGCCGCTCGATTTTCTTCGATCCTGGCGCTAAAAATGTGCGTAAAAGAAAGCGAGAGCGAGGCAAATTCTGCATTTAATGGCGTGCGGGGTTTCATTAGGCGGACTCAGTCCGCCCAGGTCGAAAAGTCGTTTCATGTTTCCCGTCACTTCTCGTGGAACACGAGATTCGGACACACGAAGGGAAAGCTCCTGCATTTGCTCTTGGCGTGTCTTGCTTATTTTAAATAGTTGAATTTGATTAGGACAACCTTACACAACACACACACACACACACAGAGATATATATATATATATATATATATATATATATATATATATATATATATATATATATATATATATATATATTGAGCGTCAGCATATATATGCTGACGCTCAAATGAATGATCACAATATCAGCTGTCAAAGCCGTAGCAAACGTCAAAGTTTCTTTTTGTACAGTGGACGACGCCCGTTTAACTTGAAAAGCAGCCTATTAATTATTACTGGGGCTATCACTTTTAATTCCGCACAAATTGGCGTTTAGGTAACTATCATAAAATCGGCGGTTTTTCTTTTTCAGCATTCTACTTTGTACTCGACGTATAGTCCGCAGAAGCAAATTTCGGTTGAAAAGAAACATTTTTTTCCTTAGGTAGTCCGCACCCGGTGCCAGCGTTGGTGGTAACCCGTTACAAGTAACGGTGTTACTTGTAACGCCGTTACACGTATTACTTGTAACATTTAACACGTAACACGTTGCTTGTAACATGCTACTTTTTCGGTAATGGGTAACGTAGTTACGTTACTCGTTGATCGTCCCAAAACTTAGGAATAAATTACACCGATTTTCCTCCTG